TAACTGATTTATTTGTTGATTGGCATATAAACAATAGGCGAAGAGGTGGAAGAGGACAACAAATAAGAGGGTGCAATACATTGTTTCATTAGACTTTGAAAATCACGATATATATATATATATGTATATAATGTTACACATTCGAACGTCGGACGATCGACCTGGACTCTAGGCCTAGAAGGTCATCGAGTTCGGCACCAGTCAAATCCACAAGTGGTGAACGGGGACACCCAGTTTCAAGCCCTTGGTAAGGAGTCCAAAACTGAAATTAGGGTTTGAAGATAAATTTTATGTTTTTTTTTTTTTTTTCCTCGCCTGTTCTTGTTTTGGTTTAAGATTGTTGTATGTCAAATTCGGTGTCATTTGGAGCACTGGAATTGCCTCTATTAAGATTTATGAAATGTCTTAGTATTTATGAAATTGGAATATCGACGAAATTTTATGAGTGCACTTTTGCCTTGCCGTTTTGTATATATATATATTTTTTTTTTCGTTTTTTTTTAATTGCAGTTAGTTAGTATAGTCTCCACTCTATGAATTGGTGGCAAGTTTGGTTAAAATAACCCATTGGTTTTCTCATAAATGGCATTCCAAGTGGTATGAAAATTAGAGTCTTTGTTAACCCACTCTCACAAAACCTAGTATGTTTTTTTTTTTCCGCATGTTGTTTGCCTCGTGTACCATCATCCCTCAAAATTCAGCCTATTCTGGCAAGTACAAAAAAAACTAAAAATCGGAGAAGGTGGAGGGATCAAAACAAATGACCCAATTTTTTTCTCAAATTAAAAAAATAAAAATTATTCTTTTTTTTCTTTCGTTTTCAATAAGGGAGTGCGCACATGAGAGAGAGAGAGAGAGAGAGAGAGAGAGAGAGAGAGAGAGAGAGAGAGAGAGAGAGAGAGAGAGAGAGAGAGAGAGACACACACACACACACACACATGTGCATCATGATGCGCTCAAATTTTTATTATTATTATTATTGATTGATTGATTGATTGACTGATTGGTTTGGTGCGCGCACGCACACAAACACACACACACACACATAGCAGGGGAAAAGGGGAGTGAGTTGGCTGAATTCAGTGGGTATTCACCCCACACCCACGTTAGTTTTATTTGTTATTTTTTTCAGTATATTGGATAACTTCCCTCCCACCACTCCCCCCAGAGAAAAAAAAAAAAAAAAAAAAAATGGCGACGTTCGGTCGAACGTGGGTAAACTCATATATATATGTCGTCGGGTTCGAACCCCGAACAGGACCCCGAACATCCGTATGTACGGAGGTCGGTCCGTGGACCTCCGTACATACGGGCTTGTGATATATATATATATATACACACCATGCTGCACGTACGGAGGTCCACGGACCGACCTCCGTAGGTACGGGCGCTTGGGGTCCTGTTCGGGGTTCGAACCCGACGGCGTTCGGCCCCTGCCAAAAATTATTTGGGGGCTTAAAAATACATTTTTTTTTTTTGATTTGTTCTTTGTGAGTTCTCTATGATGTGAGGTACATGCCTATAAATTTGAAGTTATTTTGCTAAGCCAAACAAGAATTAAAAATCGTCAAAGACGGCGGTGTCAAAACGTGTTTTCCTACCCACTATTTTGTTTTCTTTTTATTTTTTACTTTTTGTTTTCACTTTATTGAGGGGCCTAAAATAAATTATTATTATTTGAAACTTTTTGAACGAATTTTCTATTATGTGAAGTACATATTTGTAAATTTTCAAGGCATTTGGCTGTACCAAAAAAAAAAAAAAACTTGCCAAAGTTGGGGGTGTTGAAAATGTGCTCGCTCGCTCACTCACTATTTTTTTTTCCTTCTGTATTTGATTTTTATTTCAAATTTGGTAAGGAATTTAGATGTAATGCTCAGACAAATGTTGTTTATTATATATGTTGTTATGACATATATGTTTTTCCAATTTTTTTGAATTTGTTTTTTTTGGGTTCGTGTTCAGCCCGAATGGCCGAACGCATCCCCAAGGGGTCCCGCACGTTCGGGCGTTCGGGTCCGAAAGTTCGACTTTGGTCTCTCTTTTTTTTTTTTTTTTTTTTTTTTTCCTCTCTCTCTCTCTATGTGTCTCTCTCTCTCTCTCTCTCACACACACACACACTCTCTCTCTCTCTCATCGAGAACGCATAAGATGAAATGCATGGGCATTGAACAACACCGGCCTAGGGGTATACCATGTGCGCAAGCGGTCTTGTGGTCGATTCGGATGCGTGAACGGAACGTGCCTATGGACGAACCACTCTGGACGCACACCTAGGGGTACACATTGAGGGTATAAGTGGTCGGGCGTTCGATTTCGACCTTGTGTAAGGGCTCTTCGAAAATCCTGGTCCAAACTGTAACATCCACTCACTAGGTGCCACATTGGGGAGATGCCAGGGTTCGTTACTCTCCTAACAGGCGCTACGCTCACTTCCCTTGATAGCAGGCGGCAGGGTGCCAGAAGGCCTCTCGGTAGGGTGCCTTAGGGACCCTGAAACTTGAGGTCGAGGGTGGCGCACTACGGTGCTAGCGTCTGGGAAGCACCAATCTCGAACGATACCCCCCGTGTGTTTAGTCGAGGTTGTGTGCTCTAGCTTGAGTGTCCTCCGGATGGGTGGGTGGGTTCATTCCGTCGTCGGCTGGGTTGAACTCGCTGCGTCCTCTTGATAGAATCCTATGTCCTGGCACACTCTTTGACACCCCAAACATTATATATATTTATATGTATATATATACGTTGTATGCGTCATATGGATCCCTACAGCAGAATGTACAATATATATATATATATAAGGAAATATATATATGAAACGGTTTTCACCTTTTAGCAGTAGCGGATGCAGTACCCAGGGTTCGATCCCTAGACCTCACCCTACCCATGTACAGTATCTGTGTAGACCCCGAGAATTGAACCTATGACCTGTGTATTCATAGGCAGTTGGTAGACCTGTCGAAGGTCCATAGACAGCAGGGGTTCGATCTGTAGGTCTATAGTGTAGGAGTCTTAGTGAGTTCTGGAAGCTTAGCTGTAGACCTTCTAGAAGATAAGCGCGTGGGCAAGTGGGCAAGTGGCGAGGCAAGTGGTGGACTAAACAGCAGTGCAACAACAGTACAACATCGGTAGGATGGCGGTGAGACCACAGTCAGTCAGCGGAAGGTCCAGTCAGTCCCAGTCCGGTCCAGCAAGTACCACAGGGGGACTGTGAGCACCAAGGGCCGATGGCAAAGGGCAGACCAATGAGTTTCTGAAGTATAAATCAAGAGGCAGCGCCCAGCCATTCATTCATTCCTGCGTGAGCCATGCAGAAGCGCTGCCACAGCGACTTGTGCAAGGAGGTCTGCAGATGAGCCCGGAGGACGCAGTGGGCAAGAGAG